AAAAAAAAAAAAAAAAAGGCCAAAGAACAAAAAACTACAGTGAAACATCACCACACGCCCATTAGGATAGCCACTATCAAAAAACAAAACAAAACAGAAACAAAACAAAAATTAATAGGTGCTGACAAGGATGTGGAGAAATTTGAACTCCATGCACTGTTGGTGGGACTGTAAACTGGTGCAGCCATTATGGAAAACAGTATAGAGGTTTCTCAAAAAAATTAAAAATAGGGCCAGGCACGGTGGCTCATGCCTGTAGTCCCAGCACTTTGGGAGGCAGAGGTGGGTGGATGACAAGGTCAAGAGATCAAGACCATCCTGGCCAACATGGTGAAACCCCGTCTCTACTAAAAATACAAAAATTAGCCGGGCGTGGTGGCGGGTGCCTGTAGTCCCAGCTACTCGGGAGGCTGAGGCAGGAGAATTGCTTGAACCCAGGAGGTGAAGGTTGCAGTGAGCTGAGATCATGTCATTGCACTCCAGCCTGGTGACAGAGCGAGACCCTGCCTCAAAAAAAAAAAAAAAAATTAAAAATAGGTTTGCTGGCTAGGCATGGTGGCTCACACCTGTAATCCCAGCACTTTGGGAGGCCGAGGCAGGTGGATCACCTGAGTTCGGGAGTTGGAGACCAGCCTGGCCAACATGGAGAAACCCCATCTCTAGTTAAAAAAAAAAAAAAATTAGCTGAGCATGGTGGTGGATGCCTGTAATCCCAGCTACTCAGGAGACTGAGACAGGGGAATCACTTGAACCCAGGAGGCGGAGGTTGCAGTGAGCCGAGATGGCACCATTACACTCCCGCCTGGACAACAAGAGCAAAACTCCATCTCAAAAAAGTAAAAAAAATAGGATTACCATATGACCCAACAATACTACATTTTTTTGAGATGGAGTTTTGCTCTTGTTGCAAAGGTTAGAGTGCAATGGTGCAATCTCAGCTCACTGCAACCTCTGCCTCCCAGATTCAAGCAATTCTCCTACCTCAGCCTTCTGAGTAGCTGGGATGACAGGCGCCTGCCACCATACTTGGCTAATTTTATATTTTTAGTAGAGATGGGGTTTCACCATGTTGGCCAGGCTGGTCTCAAACTCTTAACCTCAGGTGATCCACCTCAGCCTCCCAAAGTGCTAGGATTACAGGCCTGACCCACTATGCCTGGCCAATACTACTTCTTAATATATACCCAAAGGAACTAAAAGCAAGAGAGAGCTTGAGGAGACACTTGCACATCCATATTCAGTGCAGCACTGTTCACAACAGCTAAGAGGTGGAAGCAAGCCAAATGACCATCAATGGATGAATGGATGAGCAAAATGTGGGATATACATATAATGGAATATTATTTAGTCTTAAAAATTAAAGAAATCCTGTCACATGCTATAATGTGGATGAAACTTGAAGACATGCAAAGTGAAACAAATCAGTCAGAAAAAGACAAATACAGTATAATTCCACTTATATGGGGTATCTAAAGATTCCAACTCATAGAAACAAAGTAAAATGATAATTCCCAGGTACTGGGGGATGGGGGCCAGTTTTAACTCAGTGGGTATTGAGCCCCCATTCTGAAAGCTAAAAACATTCTAGAGATCTGTGGCACCACAGTGTGACAGTGCTTAACATACTGAGCGGTACACTTAAGAAAGGTTAAGATGGTAAAATTTATTATGTGTTTTTTACCACACTTTTTTAAATGTACAAAAAAACCCAAAAAGCAAACAAGCAAAAAACCTCATTGCAAGATTACCATAAACCCACCAGAATGAAAAGGTAGACAGTGGCAGCTGCTGGTGAGGATATGCAACGACTGAGTCCTCTCTGGTATTTATTCTAATTTTTTTGTAAAGCTTACTTCTCTATGGATCTCACACATTACTAGTGGGAGTGTCAACTGGGCACTTACTTTGGAAAATTGTCATTATTTAGCAAACATAAGCATATTGCTACTTTGTTATCCAGCATTTCCACTACTGGGTTTCCAAGTGCAGGCATCCATCAAAAGACACAGACGTAATGTTCATAATAGCTTTTTCATAATAGCTCCAGACTGAAAACAACCCTAAAGTCCACCAAGAGCCAAACGGGTTAAATACATTGTAATATAGTCATACAATTAATATGATGCAATAATAAAATGAATGAACTACTGCTATATACAACACCATGGATGAGTTCCACACAAGTAATATTGAGCAGATGAGGCCAAACAGAAAAATACATACTCATGTTTATATGAAGTTGAAGGATTAGACAAAACCAATCTATGGTGATAGAAAGCAGAATAATTGTTAGGAGGTATGGAGGGATTGGCCAGAGGGCTACTGATTGGAAGGAGTTACAAGGGGACCTTCTGGTAAGCTGGAAACAACTTTAATTAGGTGGTGGTTACACAGATGGGTATCTATGCAAAAATATACTGAGACAGAGGTTTAATGTTAGTTTCTTCACTGCATGTATACTATGTGCCAATAAAAAGTGAAGAAAAAGTAGAAAAATAGGCCCAAATAGAAAAATTTTGGAAGCAAAATTTAGTTTTGTCATATTTCTATATTCATGTTTAAGGGGATATATCATAAAATTCCCATTTGGATGTATTTTTCTCTTAGTAATTCAAGCTCAACAGAACCTGCAAATGGGAGGAGGCTGCAGAAGCCAAGCATAAGAAGACACATCATGGCTGGGAGCCGTGGCTCACGCCGGTAATCCTACCACTTTGGGAGACCAAGGCAGGTGGATCACCTGAGGTCAGGAGTTCGAGACTATCCTGGCCAACATGGTGAACCCTCGTCTGTACTAAAAATACAAAAATTAGATGGGTGTGGTGGCACACACCTGTGGTCCCAGCTACTCTGGAGGCTGAGGCAGGAGAGTTGCTTAATCTCAGGAGGCAGAGGGTGCAGTGAGCAGAGATTGCGCCATTACACTCCAGCCTGGGCAACAGAGCGAGACTCCGCCACACACACAAAAAAGACATATCCATCCTAAATGTGTTACACACCTAATAACAGCTTCAAAAATACGTGAAGCACCAAAAATAATATAATAGAAAGGAGAACTAGACAAATCCACAATTACAGAGATATTTCAACACTTCTCAAGTGGTAAAATCACTTGTAAAATCACTCTGCCCATTTTACAGAGGAAAAAAACTGAGGCCTAAAAAGGAGTAGGGGTGGGGGCTGAAGTCCCACAAGTCAGTTGTAGACCCAGGCTTAGGACACAAATCTCAGGCACGCCTCTACCTGCTCCCTGGACAACCACCTGCAGGAAGTGACTGGATTGTGTGGAGGGGGAGCAAGGGGGGGTGTCCCCAGTCCCATGCAGGCTGAGGAGGGAGCAGGGTCTCAGGGCTGAGGTCAGGCAGGGGGGCCACTCCTTAGAGACCAGCCAGCCAGGAGTGCCACTGTTTGTCATAGTTTCACTGATTGTAGGGAGATTGGAACCTCTATTTGGGTCACAGAAATAAACAGAAGAGCCTGCAGTTCCGGGATAACACGCTAATGACCCTAAGGGCCAAAACGCAAAGGCGTCCCGGGGGCTAGGACGGAAAGTGAAACTTTCAAGTTCCTTCTCTGACCTTCGCCAAGGTCGTTCCCTCTGGGTTCACAGAATAGGGAGGAACCCATGTAAGGCCCAGCGAACAGAAGAAAGGAGGCAGGTAGAGGGACAGCCTTCAGCCTAGTGCAGCTATTCGGGTGGGACAACCCGTGGAAGGAGCCGCTAGGTCTCCGAGGACGGCAGGAAGTCGCGGGGCTGCTGCTGGGCCGGAGGTGGGCGGGGGTCCGGCGCTCTCATTCTCCGGATTCGGAGCCCTACACGTGGATCAGTCGCCTCCCGCCCAGGATGTGAGCGCCCCCTCCCCTTCTCAGCCTCCTTCGGCCTCTTCCCTCTCTCTCACATTTCCAACTCCCAAGGATAACTTGTCGCTCGCTTCAGACGCCCATGGCTTCTTTCAGTCCCTGGGATTGGGCTTTCTCTTCTGTCTCTTTTGTCTATTTCTGCATTTGATGGCTTCTCTGGGTGCGCCCTTGGATCTGCTGCTCTCTTGCCTGATATTCTCTCTCTCTCTCTCTCTCTCTCTCTCTCTCTCTCTCTCTCTGCTCTCTTTCTCTCTCTCCTCTTTCTCGATCTCTTCTCCCTCTCTCCCCTCTCTGGCCATCTGGGCGCGCTCCTCCGCGCCTCTAGCCTTTCCACCGCGCTCCAGGCCCATCCCCGCACCAGCCTCTCTGGGATCCGACGGCGCCGCGGGTGTAGGCAGGTGAGTCGGCCGAGCCCCGCCCGGGCAGGCGCGGAGGCAGGAAGCGCTCGCGCCAATCCCTCTCCTGAACCCTGCCCTCACCCCCCACTCACCGGCGCCAGGGGGACGCAGGACGCGTGAGCCCCTTCGCGCCCCCAGCGCTGTCGGCGTCGCTGCCCCAGACAGACACTGCCCCGAGAGGCCTCACAGAGGCGGAGGCTGGGGGCGGCGACCCGGAGCCGCCTCAGCCCTTGCCTTGGGCGCCGTCACCTCAGTCCCCAGAAGCCTTGGGCTCCTGCAGTCTACGAAAATGCGGAGGACAGCGTGGTTCCGAGAGGTAGGTGAGGCGGCCGCAGCCCTTCCTCTCGCAGCTGGGGGTCCCCTATAAGCTGGGCAGCCCCGTGGCCCGAGCTTTCGGGACCGACCGGCCGTGGCAGGCGCGGGCTACTCCGGGCCACCGGCTTAACCTTGATCTCCAGACCGATCCAGCTTCCCAGGTGGGGCCTCCCTGTCCGCTCGCACCCGACCCTACCTCTCCACGAGAAGGTGTGTGTATGGGGGAAGGGGGTCGCCCCCTCTCATTCTACCGGAAACCCTGGCTCCCCAGAGCCGATGCGCAGTGCCCCGCCCAGCCTGAGGCCCTCCTGGGCCCCCTGCTCACAGCCCCGGATTCTAGGCGGTTGCGGTGAGAGAGGCGAGGGCCTGCTGCAGTGAGCGGCCTTGGGGGTGGGGAATCGCTTGGGAAGGAAGAAAGGCCACTTTTCCTGATGGAAATTAGAAATTGGCCTGGAACTCTTGGTCTAGACGGAAGCCCCCAGGTCCCCAAGGTGCAGAATCAGCTCTCCTGCGCGCTCTCTCTAGCTGCCTGCTGGCGTGGAGGGGGCAGAATACTTGGGGGAGTCTCTTGCTTTGGCCTTTGGGGGCCGCACAGGTTTTCTTCCCTTCTGGACTGCAAGCAGCCTCCTGCCTGGGACAGCGAGTATCTGAATCTAAGGAATGCCAGGCGCCGCCATCTTATTTGAAACACACTCACAAAAACGCGGCATGTGCATTTTTGTGGAGGGGACTGTTGTTTCTGGGAGTGGGCAATGGGCATCCAAAGGATTTCAAACTGTATGGACTGACTCACGGGTCAATACAAAAATTATTCGCTTTTGAAAAGGCATGTAGAGAGAGGCAAGCATAAAGGGGTGTGCATCGTGCATCGTGGTATTGTGGAGTCTGGGAGGAATTAGTAACCCTCAGGAATCAACTAGGAATCTTATATGACAGCAACTGCGCCTCTCAGAGTAGTTAAGCACCGTTTAAAGATTGAGGATTTATACAGACATGCGAAAAAGACATGAAATTATGTGCTCCCAATTGTGCTCAATAACAAAGGTAGCAGAAGGGAAACTCGCATTTTCACCTATATGCCTCCCCCTCCCAAAGTAGAACATTGCATGGTATATTTCACATATTCCACATGCCAGATGCAGAATGTGCAACTGACTGCCCAGCACTGTGCTTTCCAGTACAAATGGAAGCAAAAAGATGCCTTAATGCAGAGGACTTGAGTGAAAGTTCTCTTTTGTCAGTGCGCTTCCCTAACCCTTTGAGGAAGCAAGTCCCGGGCCTTTCCTAATATGATCGTCCCTCCAAATCCCCTTTTGGAGCTGCAGCTCATCTCTTTCCCTAAAGTCTGGTGCACTTGGCTCCAAGTCTAGAGAGGCCTCCCCATTTCCCTAGTCCAGAAGGGATGAAGCCTCCTCCACCCCCAAACATACAGCCCTTGGCTCCATGCGAGAATTGCTCACCTTCTGCCATGGTTTAGAACACCACCCTACACAGGCATACACATACACACTGCCCCAGAAGAAATGCAAGGAAAGGCTTTGTTAGCCCCAGCAAGTTATTGTGGGAGACCCCAGAGACCCTTAGAAAGAGCCTCACTCTCTCACACTGCAACTTGAAAGACCCAGGACATTCCTCCCACCCCCACAACACTCAGGGTTCTCACCACCTCAGAAGGCACTGAGTCCGCGACGACAGGAGGATCTGTTGGGTTGGGAACTTCACATCCCACTCACGGTGCCTCCAACTTCTTTTTTGCTGGCGGGATTGAATGTCAAGCTTAAAGTGCTGTTGGGCTAGAGAGTTTGCTTATTTTAGTCTATTGGTTCCTCTCCCTTATTTTCTTCTTCCTCATCTCCCTTTTACTCCCAGGTTTTGCCCTTTTTTCTCTCTCTCTCCAAACAAGAAATCTGTGAGTCTTCTGGGCTTGGAGGGTAGGAATGAGGGGGGAAAGGAGAGAATATTTGACCCATCCAGGCAGCACCCAGAACTGTAATTCACAGCAAGCCATCCTGGTAGACCTTGTCCTCACAGGCTCAGAGAGTATTTGAATCCACAACCTCCCACCAGTATCCCAAGATCTCTATTAAGATCCTTCCTTAATAGAGACTAAGGATTTGGGGCTTCTGCAGTTTTCAAAAGTAGAAAAAGACAAAAGTGCCACTATTGGCCAGGCACGGTGGCTCACGCCTGTAATCCCAGCACTTTGGGAGGCCAAAGCGGGTGGATCACAAGGTCAGGAGCTCTAGACCAGCCTGACCAACATGGTGAAACCCTGCTTCTACTAAAAATACAAAAATTAGCCAGGAATGGTGGTGGGCACCTGTAATCCCAGCTACTCAGGATGCTGAGGCAGGAGAATCACTTGAATCCAAGAGGTGGAGGTTGCAGTGAGCCGAGACCATGCCATTGCACTCCAGCCTGGGTGACAGAGCAAGACTCCATTTCAAAAAAAAAAAAAAAAAGCCATCATTATTCCAGTGGCCAGATGTGGAGGGAGTCTGCAGTTTGGCAGAGGCCTGGGCTCAGGGAAAGGAGTACTGAGGGCTGGGGGGTTGGGACAAGGCCTAGGAGAGACTTGGTTTTGACTCTGCCTGCCAGTGGGGAACCCTGGGCTCTTCAACAAGTAAAGGCAAGATCAAAGGACTGGAGGTCCGAGTCCCTCTTTTGCCTAACTGCCCCAAGGGCTCCAGAAACTACTCTGGCCAAAAATCAGGAATAGTTGAAAGAAAGAAAAAGGTACTGAAAACACCCAGATTGATAATCTGCTTAGACACCAAAACTCATCCTTAAAACAGTAAAGAGAATTTATCTCCTTGATTGCCTTGCAACTTTCCATTTCAGTTTGGCAATGTGTAGATGGGGTCATCTTGAGTTTCAGAACTTGGGGGTCCAGCACTCAAGGTCTAGAGGGCTGGATCTGGCGCCTCTCACCCCCTTTCCTCATATACCTCCTCTTGCTTCCTTCCCCTGCCAGGGCTTCTCAGAAAGTGACATCTGACTTTCTTGTAGAACTGTGAAATCCCACAATTTCAGAGGATTTCAAATTCCTTGAACCTCAGGTTGAGAGAACTATTTGGATTAATCAGAGAAGTTTGTGTCTGGAAAGTGTTGAGACCAAGTGTAGGTCTTTACTTTTGTTTTCTTTAGCTGATCTCAGTGCTTCTCAGGTCAATCTTCACCTTTAAAAACACCCTGGTGGCAGTGTTCCTTTCGCACCGCTGTAAAGCAAAGGGCAAAAGCAACTCACGGCTTTTAGTTGGGCCGGGAATTCAATGTCTCCTTTCTCAAGAAGATGCCAAAGTGGCCGCCCTCAGCCCACTTTCTGTCCTTACCTCCTCCTGCCCTTTCCCCAGCTGCAGTTATAGGAATAATGGCATTTAACTTGCAGAGATCATTAAGGCCAAAGCCCCCACTGCTACCCCAGCGCCCCTCTTAGGGCCGTTTGAGTCGCTTCCTCCACAGCCCTCCTTTTTTGAAGTACTCCCTAGCACCCTTAAAGGCCAAATTTTGGTTGGAGTGAAGGTGGGGGCTTAGTCCAAAATAACCTAGATTTTAAGTAACGGTAATGATTTTTTAAAAGATAACCATGAATTCTCAAGTCTCGACCACCCAGAAAAGTTCCCCCGTAAATTGTTGCCGGCGCTGGGTGCAGACACGCAAACACTGGCCAGAATGCCGGAAACGACTTTAAGGAGAGAGAAGTCAGTGCCCAAATGCCTCATGCTTTAAAACAATAAAAGAGGAGAGAGTCTAGATTTTTTTCTCGTTAAAACTTCCTCTTACCTCTTCCTCAGTCTGTTCATTCCTTGGTCAAAGGACCCGAGCTCTTGGGTTTCGAGGTGAACCAAAGGGAACGTGGCTCCCCGAGGCAACTTTCTCGCTTGCGGACTCCTGGGGGCTGAGTGTCTTGCTATTCCCGCTGCAGCTCCAGGGGAGACAGCTCCATGGGACCAGGTCTCGCGGGGGGTGGAGTGGTCGCCGCGGAAATCGTGACCAGGGTTTGGAGACCGCTGAGTCCCTCCGCTGCGGACCTGCCTGGGACTGCGTGGAATGGACCCGAGTCCTCCGTCTAGGATTTCCTGGTGCTCGAGGGCGCGCACTCCGCACTGCTCCGCTGGAGATCTGCACTTGTGTCCCGGGGCAGGGCGCAGAGTGAAGATCTCCTTGCAAGCTGCTGACTGGCTCCGCGACTAGTCCCTACTGTGAGCAGGAGAGTAGAAAGTTTGCCCGACAGGGAGGTGGCCGAGCGGGAGCGGTGGAGTCGGCGTTCCAAGGAGAGTCAGCGGCATCTCAGGATTCCGTGCGCCTTCAACTCCCTCCCGCTGACAGCCCAGCCGCGCGCTCGCGCCGCAGGGAGGAAACCTGGAAGCCTGGGGAGGGCTTAGCTCAGAGTCCCAGCATTCCGGAGGAGGGGCCCAGAGCAGAGGATTAGGAACGAGGCTTTCAATCCAGCCTCGGCGTCCGAAAGCTGCAGTTAAGGGGTGAAGAGAGGCCGCAATTACACAGGTGCGCCCTCCGTTGCCTCACCGTCAAGGGCCTGTAGACTCAACCTCCGCCGTCGGATAAAGTGGGGTGCGGAGGCTATGTCCAGCCACTAGCGCAAGGAGTGGCTCTAAACGCTGACCCAGCGCCTCGTCCCAAGCGGGAACCTGGCACGCGAATAGACCGAGCCCGGGACGGGACGCCATGCCGGGCTCCCTTGCCCTTACCAAGTGACCATCTTCTTCCCGATTTCCTGCTCAGAGAGGGAGTGGGTCCTAGTCTGTGGATCTCAGCGCTCCCGACTACCTCACTGCTCTTAACGAACAGTTCATCTGCTCCCTCCTGGCCCCCTGTGCCAGCGCCGCTCACCCCCTTTTCCATCCCCGGTTTCCTCTCTCCGGATGCTACCTTCCTTTCCACAGTTAACAAATGATCTAGCGAAACAAATGATCTAGGGACCCGCCAAGTCCCTAGCAGAGGGGCACCTCCATCCGCCCGAACCCATCAATTAATCAGAGC